GGGGTGTAGTATGGAATTTACATTCTATGAGGCCAGCTCTAATGGCATAGGCGCAATGAATGAAACCAATATGAAAAAAATGTGGATAATTGTTAAATTTGGGGGTGGGCATGTGGGATTCATTATTGAGTTCTCTATTAGTGTATTAGAAATATTTGAAACTTTTCACAGAGGAAAATTAAATTTTATGTGATGGCCCAGATGACCCTGGCATCTGTTAATGAGTGTCTTTTCCTCATGAACTTACTTATACATATCTCTAGCCCTTATAACGCTGGGTGACCCTGAGTAAGAAGTATCAGTTGTATAGAAGAACAAATATTTGTATTCTTCACCAGTGGCCTCTTCCAGGTTTCAAAGGTATTCCAGGTTATGGTTTTCTGGGAGCTGGCAAACAAGTCTTTGTTCACCTTTTGTATTTTTACGGATTCTTTGTTGTGTCCCTTCTTAGCCCTAGTCTTTCTGATGGAGAAGGCCTAATCCGTTTAATCCCCGTTCTCTGGCAGCAGGTCTCCTGCTCAGTTATTGAAGTTGCCCTTCCCTAGACCTTTCTCAGCTCTGCTCTGACTTTCTGGAGCTGCAGTGACCAGAACTGATCCACTCAGGTTAGACACACGTAAAAAGGACAACTAGAGACAGAATTTCAATGAAAGGACTCCTGGAAACAAAAGGAAATTGGAATTTAACAGAAACAGAAATCATAGAGAAACAAGCATCGTGTTAAAAAATGAAATTACATTAGAAAAGATGAAAATTGGTCTCATCATAACAGTTGGTAGGGTGGGGTTGGGAAAAATATTTTTTCAAAAGGTCTCATTCTATTACTTCCAAGCTCCGAACCACCAAGAGTGCCCATCATATTAGAATAAAATCAAACTTACCACTGTGGCCAACGGTCTGGCCCCTGTTCATTTCTCCCACCTCAGCCCCATCTACTCTCACCTGGCTTACCTGTCTCCATCCACCCCGGCCTTCCTGCCCCTCCTGGGGCTTTCTCTAACCCTTTGGGACTCTGGGGCCTTCATCCTTGCTGTAGCCTCTGCCTGGATTACACCTTCTGCCCCCAGATCTCACATGTCTTGATTTTGCTTATCATGCAGGTTCTGGTCAAATGCCACTTCCTCAGAGGGGCCTGCCCTGACCAGCCCATAGCTCCCCTTGCCTGCTTTATTGTGATCCTGCTCTGAATTTACAGTATGTGCTTTGCCTTTTTCTTACCATGTACTCCTTTAGAGTAAAAGCTCTAGGAGGGAGAAGACTTTGCATTGGTAACTTCTGAATCTTCCTCACATCTAGATTAGTGCCTTACAAGGGTGGATGCCAGTAATTAGTTGTACGGATGAATGAAAGCATGAATACACTTGTACCAGTTAAGAGGGGATGTTCTGGGACCAAATGTTCTGGGTTCAAATTCTACCTCTGCTTTCAACAGGCTCTTGGAAAATTATTTAACTTCTCCGTATACAATTTCCTTATTTGTCAGATGGGGACAATAATAATATCCACTCAGGGTTATCTTAAAAATTAAGTGAACAATGGCTCATGCCTGTAATCCTAGCACTCTGGGAGGCCAGGGCAGGTGGACTACCCTGAGCTCACAGGTTTGAGACCAGTGTAAGAGTGAGACCCTGTGTCAAAAAATAGCCGGGCATTGTGGCGTGCGCCTGTAATCCCAGCTACTTGGGAGGCTAAGGCAAAAGGATCACTTGAGCCCAAGAGCTTGAGGTTGGGTGACAAAGTGAGACTCTTTTTTTAAAAAAAAAAAAAATTAAGTGAGTTAACACACAAAATGCTTAGGACAACATTAAGAACAATAGTTAGTGCCTAACAACACAGGATGCCTGTGATAAAATGACAAAAGGGAAAAAGAGAAGCAATACTGTCAGACTTTCTTGAGTAGCAGGAATTCTCTATTAAGATATTGAAGGGGAGTGTGGTGCTCCAGTGGTTCTAACCTACTCTGTAAAGTCTGCTTCCAAGGGCAAGGGATCAATCACAAGGAGCACTCTCTATTGTGCGTGAGGGTATCTGAAGGTTTTTTCTCAAGTTTAAAAGACATAATATTCACAACTATAATATCTTCCTCTTCTCAAAGTGGCACATTTTCATGGAGTATGTATTTGGAGTTTTATAGCTACAAATGGAACATGCTTTCTAAAACTTCTGTGCCTGGCTCAAGCTAAGAGGGTAACACCCTTCACATTCTGAAGGTATTGCAAGGCAAAAAGGAAAATCTTGATATTACTAGTCAGTCATGGCCACAGGGTCATGTTCCTAGAGATTGTTTTATTCTCCATAACCGAGAAAGAAGGAATTCTCTTAGAAGCATTAAAATTACATATGCTTATTCTTGATTTCGAGAGTATATGATCAGTAATGACAGTAACTACCTGTGAAATTTTTAGCTTTTGGTAAGAACAGGGTGTTTTGTTTGTTTATCTGTTAAGCCTGACCAGTGCAAAGGTTGTCCTATTTGTTCATGCAAAGCCAGTTTAATAAATGCAAATCAAGTGAAAACATACAATTCTCCTAAGAATTAGGGTTGTGCTCTGCAGTTCAGCAAAGCAACAGATGACAAAAAGTATAATGTTAGGCAAAAGGAGAGCAGAGACGTTCTGGACAGATGGCTTGAAAAATACCAAAAATCTCTGGGTGGTTTGAGGGCAGCTACATGGACACTGTTACCTCCCATCAGAGCCCCCTGTGTCCTGTGCTTGACACTAGGATAAGAATTATTCCAGTAATGTGGGAAGATGTGGAGCAAACTTCTTTCTGAAATGTGACTACTTTGACAATCGAACATTATTGTGAATAAGGACAATTATAGGATACTTAAAATTATTTTTAGTTCAGTAGGAACCTTGTAAATTACGACGCTAGTTACTTAGCATTTAGGCAGCTCTTTATGTGCCCTCTGTAGGAGGCCTGAAGGGAGGAATGTCTTTTAAGACATAGTGACCTGTGAAGTTTTGTACCACTTGAGAATAGGGTATGATTTTTTCTTCTAAGGATATGAATTTAGTATGTTCCTGATTATTATTTCCTTTGTTCTGCCTTTGGGTACCAGAAAGGCTATTTATGGCTTCACGATAGCAATGTTATGAGCCCTTATGACCTGATTTTATTCATGATTCTTTTTATTCCTCTGGTTTAACTATCTGCTCTTATTAATATTTTTTACTGAATTGTACAATTCTTTCTTTAAAAAATATTTTACTACTCTAACAGGTGGTGGTTTATGTTACCTCAAACCTTTTATAAATGTGATGAGTTTAGACCAATTAAGTTAGGAAGTTTTCATAAACACAATTTCCCTGGAGAGGTAGACGTTATTATCACTTATATTTTTTTTTGTTTGTTCTTTTTATCACAGATATTTTATAGAAACTGAAACTCAAAGATGTAAAACACTTGTCCAAGATCCAAAAATCACATATCTTCAGTTTCATGTTATACTATCCTATTTCTCTAAAACTAAACCAAATCAACCACCCCCAAACCCCAAAACCTTTTATTACTCTGTCTTTGGGTAAGAGTTGTTACTGAACTAACTATGGTAAACTTTGTTTTAAAGTGTCACCGTGAGTGAGGTAAAATAAAATACATTGAAATTGTAAAACGAAGGAGTTAGGCTAATAGAAAAGTTTACCAAAAACTTTATGTAATTGTGGAATATTAGGCAGTTAGAGGAAGATAAAGAATTTTCTTTGATGAATTTTATTATTTTGTCTTTTCTTCTTTTAAAGAAAAAGGTATACAAGGAGGATAAAATTTAGATGAAAGTTTTACTCGAAAGTAGAGGAATGGATTATTTGACCTGTGCAAGATGAAAATGCTTTTTAAAAACCAGCCACCACCAGACGTTACAGACTACTCCTTACAGCCCACCAGGGTAAGAGGACGGGTTTTGATTTCCTTTCTAAGGTCAGCAGGCTGGCCCTAATCCTAGTGCCTTGGGCACGCCTGCTGTGTCCAGTCCTGCGGTTAGGTGTGTTTCCTGGGCAATTGAGTCTATGAAAATGGCACAGGCCGGCCTTGAAACATATGTGACCAAAAAAAATTAAAAGCACCTGAGAACCAGGATCATAACCAACTTAATTCCCGCCTTTTCTGCAGGGCACAGGCTCCTTCCTCCTTTATATCTAAATAAACCCGGAAAGCAGCACAGTGCCCGAGCACACTGATGGCATGACAGGAAAAAAATCCCCATCAAATAAAAGAGATATAGATCCTCTTCAAATATGAAGATGTAAATAACTGACTTCATTAAGCACCATCCCATGATAGTATCCTATCGTATCTACCTTCCTCTAATTTTAGCAAAAGGGATAACATTTCCTCCCATTTCTGTTTGTTAAGTACTGGGTTTAAGATGGCTGATGTAAAACTGCCAATGACATTCCATTTTGCTGTCGGGTTCCAATCCAGAGTTCGGAGAATCCATTTGCCCTATTCGAGGGACTAGCACCTTGTTCTGAAAATTTCCCTGAAGGATATTCAGGGCTCTGTAGGTAAGTTTTCTCTGTCAAGCCAGGAAGGCATCACCTAGAGCACTGCTATCCTTGCAGAGTCTCAGCATCTCTGCGCATCTAGACCTGACTAATGAGAAGCCACAGAAGGAACACGTCCATGTTGTGTCCCCAACATGCAGGGGATGTGCTGGGAGTAAACTGAGCCGAGATCACCTAGCCAGCAAGTTGCTGGGTTGGGATTTGAACTGGGGACGCCTCATTCCAAGAGCCATCTTGGTTTTCCTTCTGCATTGCAAAGTTCCGCAGAGAGGCAGAGAGTAGGAGTATTAGTTTTAAGTAGTCATATGCTAAAAGTCATCCACACTCTGAATTCTGTGTGTTTTATTGTCATCTCGTTTGTTTTATCAGCAGAGGCAGTTCCCTTTTGAATGAGCCACTTGGTACATGCTGAATAAGTCTGGAACATCCCATGAACAAACAGCACATCTCCTGTCTCTAATATTCTGTGCACCAGCTTCTTTGACTTACCTGGTGTGAAGATGGCTCCTCCTTCAGATTTTCATCCAGGTCCACACCAACTCTGTTAAAGAAAACAGAAACCAGTTAAATGCCGTGCACCTGAAGGGATAAGATAATCTTGTGGGTCAGATCACCTGACCCAAACACAGTGTGTATCTGAGGAACGATTTGGCAGAAAACCATCCTATCTCTCCCTGAGTCAAAAGCAACTCAAATAGAGTTAGACCAAAACGAGAGCTTGTACAGCTGGACAAACTGAGCATTAACAGCAGTTCCTCAACACGGTCTCTTCCAATGAGAGCAAGGTTTCTGAGGCCTTGCTGGGGTCCTGGGATAGGAGTCATCAGGGAAAAGACCTCTACTCCTGAAACAGGGATCCTAAAGGGAAGGTAACCTGGTCCCCCCACAGGACCCACTGACCAACCGCCCTGGGAATGCCTGGAGCAGGGTTCAAAAGGCAAGAAAACAGAACCTTTAAATGCTCTCTTCCCTGCTGCCTGTAGGGAAGATCCAGGTTGTGGGGTCTGAGCCTTCTACTATTGTGAAGGGGTTGCTTTAAGGAAAATAATATAAAAACACAAGGACAAAATTGAGGGGTGGAAGAGACTCTTCAGGAGAAAAAACTTACAACATTTTTAAAGCTGGAACACAGATATCTCAAAATCTAAAGAAAAGAAAAACCCACAATGTTTTAATTATTTACTGTCTGAGACACCTCTAAAATAACTCTGTCCTGTGGAATTTTTGCCC